AGAGCGAGAGAGAGAGAGAGAGTGTGTGTGTGTGTGTGTGTGTGTCCTATTAGAAAGCTCTAAACATGCTCACTGTGTTTACCGAAAGAGACTTTACAGAGACATTATTGATTCTGGAAGCTAAAGCTAGTGTTCATTGCGGTTTGTTTATAACGCACTAGCTGCTATTGCTAAACGGTTAACTAATGAACATTCTGAATAAAACGAGACTGTTAAGACAGTCCCTTTATTCAAGACGTTTTGGAGGTAACCGCTTCCTGGTTTTTCTTTCAGCTTCTACACAAACCCTTATTCGTGTTTAAAACTCGTGGTGTGAAAATTAGCGTGCAGGACCATACGCGTCCGCATGATGGCGCCACACGCAAACATTCAGCGGGACTGATGATAAAACACCCAATAACACTCTCGGCAGCGCTGCTACCATGAACAGTGATTCTATATTGAAAAACACCATGATTGTGAATGATCGCCATGATCCACGGTACTGCAGTGCAATGTATAAATTGCTGGTATAAGAATAAACGCCGACAATCATCGTGTGCTAAATGTGTTAACGGATCATACACAAGGTTCTCTCAAGTTATGAACAAACGTTCTTCCAGTAACGTTAATAGAACGTTTGTTCAGATGTAGTCTTTATTAGTCTTCTCAAAACGTTAGCATAAAATTGTTATTTAGGCTATAGGCTACATCATTCATGGATTTTTTTTTCTTCAGTCAGACAGTTTTCTAATGTTGTTTAAATGTTACCACTGCTTCACAGAACATTCAAAAGTAACATTCTGATAATGTTTGCAAAACGATGCCGTGAAAATTCCTTTAAAGCTTGTGTAACTATAAGAAACAGCGTTTCTAAAACATTTTAAAAAAATTAACTGTTTAGAAATATGTCCAGATAGCACACGTACATCTGCAAGAGGGCTGTTAAAGACAGCTTCAGTCAGCCTTCAATTTACGTGCCACAATATGGTTTGTTTTGGTTTATTTTTTTGGGGGGTTTATTATTAGTGTCGTAACAACATCATTCAGTGGTATAGCTATTTGTTCAGCATACCTGACATGTAAGGGATAATGTACATCCAGCCGGTTGTTATCTCAGAATAAACCCTGACAGGATGATCAGGTATCAGCCTGAAGGGGTTTATTCTGAGATAACAACCGGCTGGATGTACACTATCCCGCTTATTACACGGCTAAAAAGATTTGTTTTTACCATATATATTTAAATTAATGCTGAAGTCTTCCATTGTAACACGCGGTGTTTTCAGTCACAAGATGGCGCCAGACAGTCAACGATAGCGGAGTGACTCGTTAAGCATCTAAGTAGTACCAGTACCCGGATGAGTGGTGTGTTATTCAATTTGGCGGTTGTTATCTGGGAATAACATACCGCTGGATGGCGCGATTGACCAATCAGAATCAAGTATTCCACAGAGCCGTGTAATAAAATCCAGTAATGTGATGTTCATCTGATGCTTCTCCTTGTTTGAGAACGTTCAGAGAACATTAGAAAATAACATTATCATAATGTTTGCACAGTGGTATATGGAACATTACTTTAGTATTCTCTTAACCGAGATAAAAATAAAAAACCCCGGATGTTTTGAATATTCGAAGCAAGTTCTTGCTATTTATCTGCGGTAGCCTTAGAGTGTAATGTCAATTAATTATAGGTGTGTGTGTGTGTGTGTGTGTGTGTGTGTGTGAGAGAGAGAGAGAGAGAGAGAGAGGTTTGACTGTGTGTGTATCTCAGTCAGTCAGTGTGTGTGAAGCTCAGGGAAGAGCTGCATGTTTCTCTCTCCATCTTTTTTCTTTTTTGCCTTTGAATCATGTGAAGCGGCGCTAACTGAACCGAACCGAACCGAAAGGAAGCGGAACCCTGGAGCGACCAAACCCCGGACTGATCGAGCTGATCGGATGGATTGATCCGGAGCGGCAGGTGCGGCAGGTACGAGCTCATCCTTGCCGCTTCTTCTGTCAATCAATCAATCAGAACTCCGAATACAAACACAAAAAAACAGTTTAGAAATATAAAAACGAGTTAAAAATGTATTATCGATTAATTATTTGGTGAATGACAGCACCATCAGTTTACTTTTAGATATTTTTGCTAACACATAAAACGCCTTACGCAAATGAGCCATGGTTTTATTATAGTAAAAGTGTCTTCTTTTTTTGCCATATTGATTAACATTTGTATAACAACAGTTTTACTACAAATACCATGGTTAAACTATAGTTAATGTAGCAAAACCAATTTCTGGTACTATAACCATGTTTTTTTATTTGTAGTAAAACCATTGTTAATTTGGTTTAACTTATAGTAACCGTGTTTTTTATTATTATTTGTAGTAAAACCATGGTTAAGTTTCGTAAAGGACAAATGATGTTGGTTTGTTTTGACGTTTGGCATTTTTGTTTATATAGATAAATATACAGTATTAATCATTCAGTATAGTGTACTTATAGTGCACATAGATAATGCACAAACACACAAATTACGAAATAAACACGTTTTGAAAACTGATTTATGTAAAAGTGCTGTGATAGTACCATATAATAACACGGTATTTCAAAGAAGCATGGTAATACCCTGGTATTTTTTGTAAGTGGTGAATGCATTTGTATTTATTGCATTGCATTTCAGGTTTGAGAGTGTGCTTATATTTTCATTTGTGTTTTGATATAAAACAAGCCATCCCATTAGTTCGAGTTTTCTGGAATGGCATTGATCATATCCAGTCTTTAGTGTGAATATTGTCAGAATCTCTTCCTGCGTCCGTGAAGTCGTTCTGCGGTCACTAATCACCGTGTTTTCTACATCTCCAAGCCCCAGTGCTGCTGATGTCCAGAGAATGAATGCTGTAGATTAGTGCTGGGCGGTATGACCAAAAATGTATATCACGGTATTTTTCAAAATTATACCGGTTTCACGGTACATGA